AGCGCGCAAGGTGCGTCTGCGTCTGACGAATTGCAGATCGCAGCGCGGCGGGAGATGAGTCAAAGCGCAGCGGCGTGGCAGTCTCTTCTCCGCGTCAGACGCAGCTGACAGCGTCACCAGTGGCGTGGCGTGAATAATCGATTATCGATATCTCGCCATTTGAAACTATGGTAAAGAATCGATTACTAAGGTGTTCGCTGCGAGCACCCTGATAATCGATCTTTTTTCATAGGTTTAAATGGCATAACAATCGATACATCGCAATTCACACCACGCCACTGAGCGTCATTACTGACACGACCGCGTCGAGACGCTTATTCCAGCTTCCAGCAGTGCGGCTCTGCGCTTACCGACACTGCCGTGCTAAGTAAAAACACCGTATAAGTATTCGAATGTTGCCAAATTTCCTCTCAGAAAGTATTATATTTAGAAAAAAGTTATGAATATTTTTCCTTGAAATTTTTGAACTTTTTAGATCAAATTACGAACAAAATCCCCCGAAAATTCGAAAAAGGAATATTCGTAAATTTTCTTGAAAATTCGTGATTTTTCGGAGGAAATTTGGCAACGCCTAATTGCTCATACGGCGTTCTTGCTCAGCAGGGCAGAACACTCATCTTTATCCTAACAAAGCCCTCCAATGTTTGTAGCCGGAAGCATACTAACAAGAGAAACCATTGGGACCCTGTATCCATGCATAAAGTGAATCAAATACCTCTTATCCAAGCTCACAATCCTACAAAAAAAAAAAAAAAAAAAAAAAAAACCAGGAGCGCTCAATACGTCAATAGAAATCCTCTACCTCCTTCCTAAAGGAATTCCTCACCGCACAAAATTGTAAGGGAATGGAATCGGAGACTCAAACGCTGGAGCAGGAATAACAACTTTCACGACAAGGGTCCGTCTATATGAAGCACTCTAAACATTGGGAGGAGATAATATCTGTTGGCACCTGAAAAATACGAACGTATGGAGCTTTTACCTAACTTTGGCAATTTCCTACGCGGCAAACTCGAACTAAGAATTTAATCAAAACTCACAAAAACCTCATTGAAAAACGATTTAAAACGAAACTCCGATGATCTCGCGAAATACAGGAGTAGTCCGGCTTGTACAATTGAAGGTTGTGCGCTAATAGAACCTTGTTTTACCGAAAATCCGAGCTTTCAAGAGATTTGGTCCGCGCCCTGTTTCTGACATACGAATTCAGTCCAGCTTTTCTTGAGCAAGTTGCCCAACTTCACCCCCGATCAGTGCATCTCACAAAAAAACCTGCCAAAAACTGAAATGAAACGGCATTTCGTGGACGTTTCTAGCCTCTGTAAAGCTCCGAATTCGAAGACCCGACTTTTTCTCGTTTTCCGCTCTTAGACTTTCACTGATCTTTTAACATTAGGGGTAGCTTTTCCCGGCTTGATGACGAAGGGTTTTTCGCCAGGACCTTTACGGCCCCGAGCCAGTGATGAGACGTTAATGATCGATTATCGATATTTCCCCCTTTGAAGCTGTGGTGAAGAATCGATTATTAAAGCGCTCGTTGCGAACACCCAGTTTCTCGTTTCTTTTCCATAGGTTTAAATGGCAAATAATTCTATTGATAGCAAAACACATCACGCCACTACCCCGGGAATCACAATAGCAATCGGAGAGCACGATTATTTTTCTTGGTGCATTTTTCTAATGGTTCAACCGGAAAAGTGTGTTTTGCTAAAATTTTGAGAAAAAGGGAGCCATACCATTCACATAATACCAATTTGTCTCAAAATACAAGTATATGGGTCACAACTGACCCCAAGAATCCCCCTATTCCAGCTCCAGTATGCGCTGAGGAGAATGACACAGTCAGTGCGGTGGCTCTCTGGTTCGCAATGCCCGCTCGCGTTTTAATCCCGCGATCTCGGTATAACGACCAAAGGATGTCGCGTCATTTTCCCGATGTTTTATTCATTACGCATGTGACCGGCAACTCCAACACTGGCCTTCCCGTCACGTTGCCAAATTGGCTAATCGTTGCCGGAAAAGCCTTGGCCATCGGACCGTAATCATTAACTGGCATAAACATTGCCTCAAACGGGCTTGAGAACTTTTCTTTGCTGAAAGTTTTGTGGAAGGTTCGAGGAAAAGTGTTACAGCACTTTTAGAGGGCAATTGACCAAAACACTAAAACCTTTTTAAATTCGACAATTGAAGCGTTGGGTGCAGAAAGAGCATTTCTTGGTTGTGCTGTTTCAGAATCTTCAGTGCTAATTTTAGTTTTAGAGAGGACACTTTTGGGTGGATCCTCTGAAATTTTACGTTATCAGCATTGTAAAATCATTAAGCATATTTAGTAAAAGTTACGAAAAATTACATACATTTGCTTTAATCATAATGAATGAAACATAGTGGAGGTTTCGAGACACTGCAACCAAGAAATGCCCTTTCTACACCCGGCGCTCCAATTATAAATTTTTCACTTGAATTATTTCTGTGAAATTTTTAAATGATCTATATTTTATGAAGCATCAATCGATTTTGAGGGAGTTTTTACTCAGTGCTGAAAACCGTAAATAAATAATTATTATATAAAACACTAAACAGAGCGCTGAAACTACACACACTGCACTACTGCACATTACTGTGTGTGTACTACTGTACACTCACTACCACTTCTATTTGGAACATTTTCTCATCAAAAATCGGTGGAAATCCTAGACTTTCAACCTGATATAGAAATATTGATACCTAGAGGATTGTGCATTTGAAAAAATGGTTGCCTTAACACTGTGCCGTTGACACTACACAACTAAACATATGAATCGAATTTAGCAAAAAGGAACCAGCGCAATCGCAGCGTTTTGAAAATCGTGCAACTTCTGCTTTTCTTTCAAAAATACTCAAAATATGTACAATGTTGAAATTTACAAAATTACTTTCCTTAAAAATTAAGAACCTTTTGGTGGGAAGCAAAAATGATTTCCTATTCTGGGAGATTTCTTAGATAATTGTGAAGAGGCTACATTTTTACGACTCTAAAATTGCGATTGCTTTTTTCGGCTAAATGCGATGCATATGTTCGGCAAAGTTTCTCTTATCCAACAGACCACCCGTAACTATACATTAAAAGAAATACGTTTGGCAACGGCGCAACTTCGTTAGTTCATTTTTTTATGGTAATTAGCCGAGCTATTACGCAATGTTATTCAATTATCCACTGGAGGCTTGTATTTATTTTATTCCATTTTATTTATATTTCCCCTTCTCCCACCCCCGCCGGGTTTGTAACAAGAGCATCGACCTTAGAACTACAGTTATGCCGACGCCGGCGCCGCCGACGACCCGGTAGGCTCAAGGTCCCGTAACGTCGAATTCCGCTTCCGTTTTTACTTTTTTACCCCATTTCAGAGCCCCATGGGAACCGCGAATCAGTTTTCTGGACCAGAATTTTAATTAATCACAAGTGGAGATCTTCGATGTTAATGTCGCATAATGTCGTTCCTCGGAGTCCTGAAGAGGCTCCAAGCTCCGCAGGAAGTGACTAAATGGGTGTCAATCCTTGAGGGCTAATGATTCTCACAAGTTCTGCTAATGAAAAAGGATCGAACCCCTTTGAGTATATTAAAAGTAAAATTCAAGCGATTTTTTTTGGGGGGTCATTTTTATGACAAGAAGAAGATGTAATGATGTACTGTCATTCGGAAATTTTACATTCAGGTCATGGTATATTATAATTTAAATAGCTTCTATTCGGAGCCACCTTTTCGAACTGAGAGATTCTCTCGCGATAGCACCGGTTTGGTTTGAAATTTCTAGGTAATTTTGGTCACAAAATGTCCGAGGATATGTTTCTTTGGTATGAATAAGTTAAGTGTGAGCTTGCAGGGTCTCTAATATTTTGAACGTTCACAAATCGTCGTTTCCTCCTCGTAAGAACATAAAATTAAAATCTAGTAAATTTTATTATTGCAATACTTCCCCTCGTAAATTGCATTTTGACCAGGAGAATCTTGGGCACTTCTGACTAAAAATTTTGCTGGTTTTTCGTCTGATCTAATGCAAAAATCAGAAAAATCTTGGACCAAAATTGCAACTCACTGGAAAAAAAAGTAGCTTGGATCTAGAGTCCAGACTCTTGAAAACATTGACAAGAAAAAATACTCTAGATTCAATCAGATTTGAGCTTAAATCAAAAGGAAATCTGCTCAAATTAAGAGGCTTGGTTCTTGATTTAAGCAAAAATCCGATTGAATCAAGAGTATTTTTTCTTGTCGATGTTTTTAAAGGTCTGGATTCTAGATCCAATGTGTTTTTTTTCAAGTGAAGAAAAAAACTCTTGATTCAATCCGACGTTTTCTTGGATTGAAGAGCCAAGATTCTTGATTTACGCGGATTTCCTTTTGATTCAAGCAAAAAGTCCGATCGAATCAAGGATATTTTTTCTGGTCACTATTTTTAAGAGTCTGGACCCTAGATCCAAGCGACGTCTTTTTCCAGTGCGGTACATTCTTGTAAAAAAAAATGGATTGTTTGAGTCAATTTTGCGATCTTGGAATGAAGATACGTTCCTTCCTCCAGGAAACAATGAAATGATAAGTAAGGTGTGCTCCATCCTCCGTTAAGAGAGAAATTCAACGAAATCGAAACTGCTCAAAAAATCGCGTCGGTCGGTTTCCAGTGGACGAATTCACAGCTGTCAGAGGGGTAATTTCGAGCACCTCAACCGGGGTCGTAAACCCGACATTACACGTCGTAAATCAGCATGTGAAATCGCAATCCCTGGCGTCAACGTTTCCTTTATAGCCTCTCATTTGGATCGGGTAATTCCTCGTCATCCTCAGGAGCGTTAAATCAATGCGATTATATTTTTTCGATCTTTTAGGGCCCACTTTGATCGAGTTTGCCCCACTTTCGCTCTCGATTGCCGGGCTCGAATTTTACGACTCGCGCCGGCTTTTTATTGCAATTTGATTAACTTCTCGTCGTTTTTATCATCACTGAGCATGTTCATTTTGTTGTTTCAGCGTGCGGCTCTTCTCCGTTGCATCCGAAACACGAAGTGCGGATCGTCGGCGGCAGGAACGCCCAGTTCGGAGTCTGGCCCTGGCAGGTAATTATTGCAGAGTAAAATATCCCTGCGCTGTTGCGAAAGCTGCTCAAGCTCCTTGAGATCCTTCCAGAGACGATACGGCTTCTTTTTCTAGCCGCTTGGTGGCAAATTTTCACTTCCAGGGGTACTTATACTGCCGTTAAACACAAAAACCCCGTACTGGAAAACCTCACTTCTACCTCAGATCTCGACCTAGGCCCAAAGGTGACGGGTCATGAGTTTCGAATATGATGTGAGACACTTAGACCTAGTTCAAAATCGATATTTTCTAACTTCTTGGCACAAAATAGCTGAAAATCCACGTTTTCCACGATTCTACCTCAATTTCGACCTGGGCCCAAAGGTTACGGGGCATATAAAATGTTCAGGTTAGGTGCTTCTGAGCTGGTTTTCTCCGTTTCATTTTTGCACTTACTGCTCTCTTTGCTATCACGGCAGTGATGGACTCGTTATTCTGCCGATTCCAGAGTATAAAACCCACTGCCTTTCTTCACTGGAAAAAAAAACACATTGGATCTAGAGTCCAAACCCTTAAAAACATCGACGAGAAAAAGTACTCTTGATTCAATCAGAATCTAGCTTAAATCAAGAACCAAACCTTTTAATTTAAGCGGATTTCGCTTTGATTCAAGCAAAAATCCGATTGAATCAAGGGTATTTTTTCTTGTCAATATTTTCAAGAGTCTGGACTCTAGATCCAATGTGTTTTTTTTTCCAGTGCGAAAATCCATTCCAGATTTTAAAATCCTTTTTCAGACAAAATGCTGCCTTACAAGAAAACCTGGCCACCTTCATGCTCCATATTTTCAATTAAACTTCCTAATGGTATAACAAAGTCATTCTGAAAGTACAAAGGTTGGATGTTTGCAGCCTTTCTTGCTGTGGAGCATTTCGTCTGAGAAAAATGTGCCGAATCTGAAACGGAGATGTAAGGCATTTTTGTGCTGGACGGTAGTATATTGCCAAACCCTTCAAACCACTTGTTGTTAGCTCATGGGTAATTTGGATGCACTCCTGCCAAACGGAACTATAGACGAGTGGGAAAGATGGGGTGTGCTCTAGAAAGCTGCATGAGAAAGAATGTCAAAATGGGCGCGATTCCCTTTGGATAAATGGAAAAGCGGGATTTTACATTATGTTACACGAAACTATGGGCCAACTGGATGCGGCACTTATGAGCCATGGGCATGTGACAGGAGCGTTGTGGAGAGGGCTCATGAGTTAAAGACTCCGGACGTCGATCCCAATACCGATTCTGTCACCGCTGACGTCACTGGCGCTTTATAATTCCCATTCTTTCTTACGGCATTCGACTAACGAGCACACTCCTTTTTTCCCACCTGACTCTAGTTCAGTTCCGCAGAGATGCGTCCATTTAATCGACAAGCTGTTCAGCATACTGCACACAGAAAAATACTTCGGTCGCATAAACATTTACGAAGTTCACAATTCACAAAGTTCAGGAGGCACTTTTTGGTTCAGAACATCGAGCTCCAAGTCGAGGAAAACGACTTCTTCTCTTGACAGAAACCAAGGCTCGATTCAATAATCTGAAATATTTTTCTTCCATAGCAACTGAAGTTTTTCGCTTCTGCAATGATCTGAGACTGAACCCTCTGTTCGACGAACCATACTTGGGTTCGATCAACCAGCGAGGTCGGTTCGCTCGAATTAATGAGGGTTTATCTCTCTAAGCCGATGAGCTTTAATGAAATTTTCGGTTCCCAATACCGAGGTTTTCCTTCTTGTGCTCAACAAGATGTATATTTTCATCTAAACAAATTCCAAAATCCCAAATATCCGAAGAAATTTTAGAACAAGATTTAGATGTATACACATATTTACATTCCAGCTCACACGGATTTGGTGAACACTGTCTGTGGCAACAGACAACTCGAGAGATTTCATAAATTTAATGGACTAATAAATCGAAAAAATAACTTTCGTAGCAATGATCGATTTGCCTTGCTTTGATGTCAGTTTTCTTGAAAGCGAGGAGTTCAAATTAACTTAATTTAATGTAGACTAGGAACGCAAAATTTTCATTTCCAAGATGAATTGATAGGATTGGAGGACAAGGCGCGTAAGTGAAGTTTTTGAAAATATTGAGATATTAATGATTTCATGTAAAGCTAGTGTTAATGCATATTCTGTGAAAAAATCGCTCCCAAATTCCAACTGTTAAGCATCAAAAAGTCAGTTTAAACTTTCTTTCCCCAGTAAGGATCCATGTAATTTCAAAACTTCAAACACGTATTTCTAGAAATAGCAAACACTACACTTATGCCGTATGCGCCTTACCTCCAAGCCTCTCATTTTTACCTGAGAAATTTTGCCCGTGGCAACGCTGGAAAGGGTGAAATATTCTCCCGGTGCAGCTATTGGAGTATAAATAAGAGAGCCTCGCGTAGCTCATCGAACCCGGCTGATCGGGCCCAATAAAATTGTCCCGCCGGAGGATTTACATCGGCCGCGCCTCCAATAGCTTCGAATACCACCATCATTACACGGAGCCCATCATCGAATTATCGGACTCGCCGGAGTCTAATTGAATTAGATAAACGGTCACGGCTCACCGGCGGGAGTTACTCACCTTATCAATTACCACCCTACGAGATTTAGATGAATGAACTCGGCATGGCTCCGCTGGTTGGTGAGGCGAACTCACGTATGATCCCGAAACACCGATGGCTGCGCCTTAGAAGCATGTATCTCGATTGCAGCGTTTCATAATTTTCAGATCCTTACAGACTGCACTGAGAGAAAATAAATGATTTTTCAACAAGTTATTTTCATCTTTCGTCATAGTTAGTCGACATAGGGGCTTCACAAAATAACATACCGTCAGGAGTGACGGGGTGCATTTGAATCAACTTTCTGTATCAATTTCAAAAATACTAAATTTTTCGGTTTTATCGCAGAATTTTCCAGTTTTAGGACTAAAATTTTGAGAATTTTGGGACTTATTCCAAAAATTTGAAACAATAGAAACTGGTACTTATTTCAAGAATATACTAATAAAGATGTCGAGGGGTCCGAATATATTAACAAAAAAATAGCACTTACAATTTTAGCTTTGAAATTCTATTACCTAAATCAGTCTTTTTAACTTTACACGTGTCTTCATTTTAAATTAACGTTTGACATTATCATAACTTGGTACATTTTTCTGTCTAGGGATCAGGCTTTATTTAGTATATTTTAATGGACAGGATTAAACGAAACAATAGCGAAAAAGCCCTAATACTTTCGTATTAGAACAACGCTCAGCTGTTTTCTATGTAGGTAGACTTGTTTTCATGTTCCTCGAAGAAGGTGAACACCATTGAGATGAAAGAACTCACTCATCAAAATTTAAACTATAAATTTTGAGAAAACTAGGTGCACCGCTAAAAAAATAAAGTATAAAAAAACGACTATCGTTCTCCGTGCCTTGACGTCAAAAGCATTGAATAAAGGTCTCACAGATTAATCTCTTCAAAATATGTTAGGCAACTCTCCGTCATCTTGCTGATGAGGTGGTGCGCCACTTGAACGCTTTACATTTCACAGTGTCTTGAAGCAAAAATGCGACAAGAATTTACCCAAAAACGTTTTGCAGGGGGTGAGCGTATGGTACGTGTAGACTTAAAATCGCAGAAAATCAAAATCTTGGCTATTTCTGATTTCGAGATATAGTAATTTGAAATTTGCATAGTAAATGCAAGTTTTACACTGATTTTGATAAGCTTTTTTATTTATTTGTCCATTGAATTGGCGTTGATCGGCTCACGTTTTTATTTTTCGTTCAACTCATGTCGATCGAATATACAGCCCACATGCAGACTACCTATCATACTCTTTTTCTTTTTTTTCAACTGAACAATTCGCCTTCTGCTGTGTCTACAGCAATTGTTGTTACGAATATGTTGTGCGTGCTGATTTAGGTCATTACATACTTGACTCCCTGAAGGCGTTTTGTGTGCGAAATCAATTCGCCTTCAACTGCGTCTGCAGTGATTGATGTTACGTACATGTTGTGCGTGCTGATTTCAGAGCATTACATACTTAAATCTTTGAAGGCGTTTTATGTGGGCAAGTAGAGCACCCTGTTGGAGAACAACAGAGGTGAGATTGAATGAATCCCTCAATCCCTACTTTGTTCGTTCTCCAAAAGATGGCGCTACTTGCCCACATAAAACGCCTTCAAAGATTCAAGTATGTAATGCTCTGAAATCAGCACGCATAACATATACGTAACATCAATCACTGCAGACGCAGTTGAAGGCGAATTGATTTCGCACATAAAACGCCTTCAGGGAGTCAAGTATGTAATGACCTGAAATCAGCACGCACAACATATTCGTAACAACAATTGCTGTAGACACAGCAGAAGGCGATTTGTTCAGTTAAAAAAAAAGAAAGAGTATGATAGGTAGTCTGCATGTGGGCTGTATATTCGATCGACATGAGTTGAACGAAAAATAAAAACGTGAGCCGATCAACGCCAATTCAATGGACAAATAAATAAAAAGCTGATCAAGATCATTAGAAAACTTACATTTACTATGAAAATTTCAAATTTCGATATTTCGAAATTAGGATGAGCCAAGATTTTGATTTCTCTCGATTTTAAGTCCACACGTACCATAGACTCACCCACTGTAAACCGTTTTTGGGTACATTTTTGTCGCATTTTTGTTTTGCTTCAAGATCACTGTGCACTAGTATACTAAATTTATAGAGGCAGGTGGATTCAAAAAGCGCTCCCTCTCGGCTGAGCGTTGAAATGTATCATAATTTAGAATTTAAGCTTTCTTAAATATAGATTCAAGTTTTAATTCAGATTTAATTTTAGATTTAAATTAGATTTAAAACCACAAGGACAAAAACAAGGGAGCTTTACGTCGTATACTGTTACGAATTAAATATTTCGATTATGCTGGTAGAAAGTTTGTCCCCTTAAGGAGGTGCGACAGAGCTCTAGCAGGTTCCTCGAGCTGAAATTTTATTAACACAGATGAGTACGTACATTTTTTATTCCTTTTCCGGAAAACTGTGTATTTTATATACTCTATACATGATCAGGACCAATTATCCCACATATGTTTATTATTGACTTTCACAGTTGCCAAAATTTCAGCTTTAATGAATATGTCCGTAAAGTGATTCCAAGCAGTTTTTTGGGGTTATTAAAATTTAGAAAGCAGGGAAGTTCTGATAGAATTGGTTTAAATCAACTTGAATTTTCTTTCCGTTGTTTTGCAGGTGTCTGTTCGGAGAACATCATTTTTTGGGTTTTCATCGACGCACAGATGCGGCGGTGCTCTGCTTAACGAAAACTGGATAGCCACAGCAGGTCATTGTGTTGACGAGTAAGTTCACGAAAATTTTAGACATAGACCTTTGAGAAAAAACCAGCATTTACAAATCGTCCCTCAGTAGAATGAGCAAATGCACTTAAAACCAAAATATTCCATCAAAAGAGAGTTAATTCTTACATATTTACCTAGGTATGCATATGGTAGCAAATGGAAGCCGTATAACATACGGTAAGAAAATAAGTGAAATTGAAATTTTTGGCAGACTTAATATGTAGATCAAAGGACCCCTGCACAAAGCAATACGAGTGAGCTCAGAACACAGAATAGAGTCCATTAAACGGCGTTTTAAAGCGAGTGGAGAGTAACATTACACACTAAGTTTTGAAGAGGGCTAATCTCGATTGATTCCCAGGCATCACTTTGAAACGCCTTCAATTCAGAACGATGCACAAAGTTATACGAGACAAGGCAATCCCGTCATGAACCGATATTCAGAATATTCCTAGTTTACCATCGATAGTTTTTTCTTTCGAGTCGTAAGCGGTGATCTCAGAATGAAACGTGCCACTTTTTTATAAAAAATTCACAGGATTATTTTGCACAAAAGTCAGAATGGCAATTTTCACTTTTCGAATATTGTGGTCCGTCACTTCAATGCACTTATTTTATTCAACCTTGCATCTGATGCATTCCGTATACTTTGATTCAACCTTGCATCTGATGCATTCCGTATACCTTGTGCCGCCTGTTAAAAGCGCCTTCAATTCAAAAGTATACTTAATAACATACATACAGCCGCTAGGTATTATGTCCCAACACTTCTCGCCTCCCTATTCTTTAAAAGCTACTCTCCTAAGTCAACGCACTGATTCGCCTGACAATGACTCATCAAGTAGAGCAACTGGTTTAGCAATTCTAACCTACTTTGCAAAAACTCGCGGAGCAAACTGCTCACCCTGACATTCATCAGTCATTATTAGGAAAAGGAGGGTATGCAATTTGGGCCGAAATCGGCCCCTCCACAGAATCAGAAAATGTTTGGATATTCAGCAGTTTATGAACGCATATTTAACAGATATAGTCGAGTTTAGCCGATTGTAACATTTTTTGACTACGAAAGGCGGTCCTAATCATGGTCTCGGATCACAAAATTGCTGAAAAATCACGTTTTTATACGGTTCTACCTCAGATTTCGACCAGGGGCCTAGGGCCCCAAGGTGACGGGTCATGAGTTTCGAATATGATGTGAGACACCTGCCTAGACACGTAACATACTGGAACATGATCGACCGTCGCCTTTGGGACCAAGTTCAAAATCGATATTTTCTACCTTCTTAGCACAAAATAGCTGAAAATCCATGTTTTCCACGATTCTACCTCAATTTCGACCTGGGCCAAAGGTTACGGGGCATATACAATTTTCAGGTCAGGCGCTTCTAAGCTGGTTTTCTCCGTTTCATTTTTTCACTCACCGCTCTCTTCGCTATCACGGCAGTGATTGACTCGTTATTCTGCCGATTCCAAAGTGTGAAACCCACTGCCTTTCTTCACTGAAAAAAAAAAAAAAACACATTGGTTCTAGAGTCAAGACTCTTAAAAACATCGACAAGAAAAAATACTCTTGATTCAATCAGATTTAAGCTTAAATCAATAACCAAGCCTCTTAATTGAGCAGATTTCCTTTTGAGTTAAGCTTAAATCTGATTGAATCAAGAGTCCTTTTTCTTGTCAATGTTTTCAAGAGTCTGGACTCTAAATCCAATGTGTTTTTTTCCAGTGACATCTTACAAGTATTTCAGTATACATAGGGTGTCCCAAAAGTACCGGGACTGGTTCTGTAACTTCGAAACAAAGATAGATACAGACATGAAGGAAGTAATGATTCGGAGGAAAGCGGATACGCAAATTAACTTTTTGAATTCTGGTAAGGGAAAAATCTTCCTAAAAAACCGTAGGGGTAAACTTTTCTCACGGATTTCAAATTGCCATAACTCGGTCAATTTTTATCAGATTGAGCTGATCTTGGTTTTAATCGATAGGTATGGAGTTGATCTTTAAAATGAAACCAAGATCATGTCTGTATCTATCTAAGTTTCGAAGTTACAGAACCAGTCCCGGTACTTTTGGGACACCCTATGTACATGATAGAATGTATTTACATATTGTACGTGTGATTTCAGTTTGTTGGCGTCTCAGATCCGAATCCGGGTCGGCGAGTACGACTTCTCGTCGGTGCAGGAGCCGTACCCGTTCGCGGAGAGGGGCGTGGCCAAGAAGGTGGTCCACCCCAAGTACAACTTCTTCACGTACGAGTATGACCTGGCCATGGTGCGGCTGGACAACCCCCTGGAGTTCGCCCCGCACATCATCCCCATCTGCTTGCCCGGCTCCGACGACCTCCTCATCGGGGAGAACGCCACCGTCACCGGCTGGGGTCGCCTCAGCGAAGGGGGCACCCTCCCTTCCGTCCTTCAAGAGGTGAGAACGAGACCTAGAGTCCCTTTATACTGAGAGTCAAGACAACACCCCTCATAGAGTCACAAACGGGAATAAAGATTACAGAAATTGAACGTTTTTCGTAATCTTTGATCGGCCCATTCTCGAATTCCTTTCTTCGTTCCTTCCCTCATTCCGTTTGTTCCTTGCCGAATCCGTAATTCCCCGGTCCATTCCAGATTATAATCTTTGCAATCGGTGAAACTGTAATCTTTATTCCCGTTTGTGACACTGTGAAGGCCTAAAATACGGGAACCAATCAGAAATGGATTCACATTGTCTTGACTCTCAGTATAAAGGGACTCCAATGAGACCCAGAGACAAATGGATCGCGTTTAGCAGAAAGGAACCAAGCCACGTCAGCTATTGCCAAATTTAACCCAGCAAATTTAATTTTTTAGATGAGAACGTTTGTGCGGTTTTTTAATGCAAATTTTAAGGAATTTGCTTCGCACTACGTAGAAAATTCATTGAAATTTGCAAAAAAAAATCCGCATAACCTTTTTTATGCATGAAATTAAATTTCCCAATAAATTTGACAATTTAATTTTTTAGATGAGAACGTTTGAGCAGTTTTTTTATGCAAATTTTAAGGAATTTGCTTCGCACTACGTAGAAAATTCATTGAAATTTGCAAAAAAAATCCGCATAACCTTTTTTATGCATGAAATTAAATTTCCCAATAAATTTGACAAAAGCTGATGTGACTTTAGTTCCTTCCTGATTAACGAGGTCCATTTCAACTTCCAGGAATGCGGGCTGCATACCCGTTCAAATGAAGGCAAAATACAAGATTCGATACGTGTTGTTCTTTCGTCCAAGCCTCGGTTCCTCTCTGCATAACGCGGTCCAAATAGAGACTTATCTCGTCCATTGGACTTATCCGTCGTCCAAAACGAGAACACCGTACCTACATTCTACAAATTGGACTGCGTTTTGCAATTTGGAACTATAAATTCTGGCCCGGTTTAAAAACAACGTATGTGGCATTAGTTTTCCTATGCACATTAGTGCTTTTTCAGATGAGCCAGAATTTATAGTTCCAAATTGCAAAATGCAGTCCAATTTTCAATCTATCACCAACAAAATTTTGTATTTAAAAAAAAGCAACGAACATTTATCCTTCATATTTTCAGCATGATTATGACATACCATTTGAAATTTATCGTGAAAAAAAGGAAGCATGATAGAGATTAGCTTCTCGTGTAACAGTGCAGTTATTACACGGTAGTGGAGATGCATGCTAATTTAAATGACTAGTAGAACAGGGTTGATATGCCAATAAAAAATAACATTTACTTATCACAACGGATGTAAATGGAGAATTTATTTGATGTCGGCGAAGATCAGGAGAAAAAACGGTTTAACTGAAATTTTGACACGGTTCTACTAGTAATTTTAGTCTGAGCAATCTATTGAAAAACTTCATTCTCTATGTCATCAATCGTTTTCCCCCTGTTTTTCAAAAATTACTCTATCTATTGATATTGAACGTGGAAACTTGCCAGTTTCATAGCTCTCGTTGATGTAATTGTAAGTTAGTCTCCTTAGCCCAGTTCGTCGTTTCCCGCACGAAGGAACGTAACTGCATTTCAATGTTGCCAAATTCCCTTGCGAAGATTGCATCTTTACCAGGAGGATTCTGGGCATTTCTGATTGAAAAATTCACCGATTTTTCTTCTAATTTTATGAGAAAATCAGACCAATCTTTGACAAACATTGCACAGGTCTATTTTGGTTAAATATTGAATTGTTTGAGTCCATTTTGCAACCTTGGAATGGAGTTACGTTCTTTCGTCCGGGAGACGACGAGTTATGTCACGCGAGTTACACACAATAACGAGGAAAGTGGAGAGCTCGGTCACACGCATAGCTTGATCAAAGCCAGTGATCTAGGATTCTAAAATCATGTATCCTTAAAATGTGTCTGTATTATTCCAGGTTTCAGTGCCAATAATCAGCAACGACAAATGCAAGAGTATGTTCCTGCGGGCCGGACGACACGAGTTCATTCCGGACATTTTCATGTGCGCGGGATTTGATGACGGAGGTCGCGATTCGTGCCAAGTAAGTTTTCATGCCTTCGTTGTGTCGGCAAAATTAGTTAATATTTAGGATCAAATAAAGGCCAAATTCTGTGATCAAGTTAAGGAGAATGTTCGTGATCGCAGCAGCGTGGATTGCAATTGAGTGCAATACTATACAGTGAAATTATCTCCCCCGCATCAGAGTGTTGCGTATGTTGCCTACCCGCTAATTGAAGGGGCTCCCTCTTGATGAAAGATGCGATTGAACTGTGTAGTTCGGAAAACGCTAATGTCCGTTTTTCCAGCTTCAGTTTTTTTATGTAGATAATACTTTTTAAGGGGTGATATAATCGTGAAATGGTGCAGCTACTTTTTTTGGGCTTAAGATACCCTTTAAGGGTCATTCCACGTCAAGTGTACCAGGCTCGGAACCCGACCCCCTCCGATTNAAGTATGATGGATTAATACAGAGTCTCGCTATGGAGAGTCAAAGAGAGGGAAGTCGAGAAAATGAGAATCGCTAAAACGGGCGTTTTTGAATATCGCTAAAATTCACCCCATCTTTGGGGGTCGATATCTCGCGAACGGGGCGTCAGATGGGAAAACCCTTCAAATTAGTTTCTTACAATGATGTAAAGACCCCGTATACCAATTTTCAGCCAAATCGGAGGGGGTCGGGTTCCGAGCCTGGTACACTTGACGTGGAATGACCCTAAAGTAAGTATTAATACCACTTTCATGGTTCCTTGTCACTCTGAAAACTATCATCAACCCGAAAAAACTCAAGAGTGAAAAATGGACATTGGCGGTTTTCGCACGTCAGGGTTCAATTTTTCTTTGCATTGCAAAGTGCCCTTATTTTTTACACTCTTGGCTCATTTGGTTTATTGCTTCAAATTGGTAAATTATTGAACAAATTATGTGTAAAAATCGCAAATTCATGGTAAAAAATTGCAATTTTTGTATTAAATCGCAATTTGATTTTAATTTTCTCCTTGCACCATCCTCCGAAGTAAGAAGTCATACAAATGAGTTTGTTTTGGACGCATATTAATCGATCTTTTTCATTTTACAGGGTGATTCTGGAGGTCCACTTCAAGTGCGTGGAAAGGACGGCAAGTACTTCCTCGCCGGAATTATCAGTTGGGGAATCGGGTGTGCTGAAGCAAACCTCCCTGGAGTTTGCACAAGGATATCGAAATTCGTGCCGTGGATACTCGAAACTGTGACGTAGTCATGATGTGCTCATTTAAAAAAAAAAAAAAAACGCGAAGACCTCTTCTGGAGACAAAAGACAGGAAGTGTTCAAACTGTTCGATTTAATTCCTTTATAATTGACCGGACACTCCTTTGAAAAGGGCAGTTGCATATGACATTGCTGACATTGACTTGAATAATGTTGATGTTCCACGCATTTTCAACGAAGAACACGTCTAAAGCTTCCAAAATGGACAAGTTAAAAGTTGAAGTTGTAGAATGAAGTAGAAAGCTTCACATTTTGGTTTCAACCGCAAATCAAGTGTAAACAACAGAACTAAACTGCCTACGTATTCATCAAAATACTGCGTAAAAGCTTTCATATTCGTAATTCTAAGATGAAATGACAAGTATCGATTGTCCAAAAGCCAGAGAGGACACAAATGTGAGGAGAACAATCCGTAAGGCTGCGGTGGAAACAGCTGAAAAGGATTCTTAAACTGATGTCTTAAATACTGTTGTTGTGTTGTTTTTATGTTTGAAATGAGACCGGATTGCCAGCAAACATGATAGTCGCTTCCTTATCCATAGTTAAATTAAACTAAAAATGGCAATACATGTGTCTCCTTATATTTTCGAACTTTCTGAAAAGTAATAGAAAAAACAACTTAAATCGCAACTGCCCCAATGAAAAATGTTTTCTGTAGAAGTGTGTTCGAATGTGAATGGGTTCAGTATTATTCAAGCCTGTTAAATTACTTTGTAGGTTATAGGATAAAATCAAATTGGCTTGTGTAAATATTTGACCTGCGTATTTACCATTCTGACACAGCATGCAGATAATTTTGTTTTTTTTCGTTGTTTTTTATTTTCAAGTGATTTTTTTCTACCAATCTGGTGCCACAACTTTGCTCCATTTTTCTTTGATTGACTATGAAAGCGAAGGACATGTCGTTGCTGTACCAACTTGTCCTTGATGCGATGCTGGTATGACCAAAAATTTGCGAAGGGAAAACCCAATTTTACCAGCATATGCAAGTGGTGTGCTTAATGATGACGTTTGGCAATTTATATTACAGATCATAAAAATTTCCTCCGGCAAATTAACAACTAGATCGTAAAAAAATGGGTCATATTACGCGTTTTGACCGCAAGAACAAACTTTTGAAAAACAAGATACTTTATAAAGATGCCACACCATTACAAATCATTATTATTTCTTCCTTAACTTATGAAAGTTCTGTAATTATTTTCTCAATTCTTAATTTCTTTTTAACTTGAGGTGTAGAGATTGACACCTTTTTTACGATCAAAGTCTCCTAATTATTGACCAAATATATTACAGCAGTTCACTTTCCTGGCTCATGTAGAGCTACTCGATGCACAACCTATGAGTACTGCTCACAACCATTTTTATTTCAAGCCTACCAATCAAGCAAATGAGCTGAGCAACAATTAATAAAAAGTGTCATTTGCTTCACAAATTAAACATACTTCTTTGATGATACTTATCAAAGGTCAACTAAAGAGAGACGCGTTCATGAAGTTGATTTTATAACTTCTTTCCTGTAAAATATTAGAAGAGCTGATTCCAGACATACTCTTTGAAAGAGTTATCTCATTTCAATATTTTGAGCTACTTAAGTATTATTTGTTCCTTGCTTAGCAATTTCAACACACTCGCGTTCATCTCGTTTGTTGGTGGTGAAATTCGAGGGTATTTTCACCGTAAAAGTGTATGACATGCTGACGAAGAGAGAAGTACCTACGTGTTTGCTTGGCTTGTCATTGAATTCCACCAACAAGCGGACCGCTCAAACTTGCCAAAGTCACATATGTCACAAAAGTACCTGTAAGTTTACGTACGTTATATGTTTTATTTTTATAGTTTTAGGTGCTTCTACAAAATATAGATACTCCGAATTAATGTATATTGTTGACGAAAACAACTAAATAGTTCATGAGACGTAGCCTAAAATCATAATTAGAGCACAATCTAACATTTTCCAGTTACATTTCGTTTGATTTTTTTATTTTTTATTTAGAAAAAACAGGATGACGTCAGCTGTTTTTAGCATTAACAACGTAATTCACAATGTTTTTCATCTTGCCAAAATAACATAGATATCATCGTATTGGAGAGCCTTTCTTATTCAACGCACTTTCTTACTTCGCGCCAAACGACTTCCCACTATAGTATGAAAGTTGGACACCTGCTGCGCGATGGTTTTCATGAATGCAGAAATAGTAGTTTATATCCTAAAGTTGTGAAGGAGCAATATTTAATCTGCTGAGCAATCATTTGGACTACATTTTGCAATTGGGAACTACCATTTCTGTCTCATCCAGCAAAACACTTATGTGGGTACGAAAGCTAATACTGCCGTGCTAAGGAAGAACGCCGTATGAACATTCGAGAGTTGCCAAATTTCTTCCGATAAAATGTTTATTTTTGAGGAATGTTATGAATATTTTTCCTTGAAATTTACAGGAACTTTAGGTAAAATTGCGAACAAAATTATCTGGAAAATTGGAGGAAAAATATTCATAAATTTCCCCGTAATTTCGTGATTTACCAAAGGAAATTTGGCAACGCCTGAAGGTTCATACGGCGTTTTTGCTTAGCAGGGAAGAATAGAACTTACGCTGTTGCTAAACTGAGCCAAAAATTGTGGTTCCCAATTGCAAAATGTAGTCCGTTTGGCGTGTACGGACAATTTCCCACCAACACCAACACGTCTAATTTTCACAAGTATTCCCTTGAATCACTTGACAACAGATTCTTCACCGAGCCAACCCCATGACTTACACTTTTAAACCTCGCGCGAGTAAGCTTTTCCAAAAATTTCGATGACAGGTTATACAAGTCTCATTTAAAACATATTGCAATAATACTTTCAGTAACCGCAAGTACTTATATGGACGTATTTCTGCAAAACGGAACTATGTGTACAATGACGTGAGCCCAGTTATGCATGTCTTCTAATGGGTCTCAGGGCTCGTGTCTTAATGCACATAGTTCCATTTGATAGACATACGTCCATATGTACACCTTAAAGAGGATGTTATGCCTAAATGCAAGGTGCTCTTCGGTCCGGACAACTCTCAAAGTCACAGCATCAGAATTCATAAATGGGGGAGGATGCCTTTGTACAAAAATTCGGGAGGAACGCTAACTTACAGGGACAATGAGTAAGAAATATTTTGCGTTTTCAATTATTTTTGTTACGTAATTGCTCGATCACGCTTGTGCGCGAATTCTGCATTTTTTATGCATAAGTGAAGAATATTGGTATGTATTAGTTAGACTTGCTGTTTTCAATTTACTCATTATGCTAGGACATAGGTATCAATGTACCCCATGACCTTCTACAGAAGTTTTGCTCAACATATGTACCTCTTAATGTAAGTTTGTTTCGAATTGTTTATTGTTGATTTTTTGTAATTAAATGTAATATATTTTTTAAATTTGATCATTAGTATAATTGGATGACGCAAATTGGATTAAAACAAAATGTTTGCATGAAATGTAAATTAAGTTTATCAGATGCAAGAGAAAGTGTTTTGTATTTAGAATTTTTTACATATTTTTTCTATATTGTACAGTTTGTATAAAGTTGCTACTGAACAGTATCCATGTACCTTCATTAAATACGGATCATTTTTGTACATTTTCTATCACATTCAAAACACTTATAATGAATTACTCTATTTATTGAATAAAGATCGAGAGCTTTCTTTCTTTCGTGGATTTTTTTTTTGTACCTCTACCCACGAATCCACGAATACTCAAAATATTCAGATAGAAGGGAACAGGCCCGCCACATCTCATCTCGGGCCCTGGTACCAGTTTTCTGGCCCGGGCCTCTAGCCCAGAGGGGGATCCGGGGGGCCTCCCCAAGGAAATTTTTGAATTTTTAAATGTATTTGGACGCATTTTGAAGCTCTTATGATGGGGATTTTCCATCAATTTCTGCAGAATAATTTTTTTTTTTTTTTTTTTTTTACTTTCGGCACCAAATACTTTTGAATTGTTGCATTCAAAATATCTATAAATTTTTTTTAAGGGGGCAGATGATACTATTCAATGCTAATGCAGAGCCGGGCCCCCCTGGACTCCCCTTTCGTACGTCTATGTCAAGGGAGTTGAGCCATTGAAGTCGAGGATGCCCACACAGGAGCCTCTTAGTATCCGACAACGGAAGAAATTGAAACGCAGTTACTAAAAATATCATTCTACATATACGCATAATCTTGAAAATAGATAGCAATCTCTAAAAAAAGTAAGAAAAATTGTATAGTGCCCTAGTGAGTTTTTGAAACTTGCTACGGCGCCTTGAGCCAACTATACAACCTCGACGGATGTCCGTATTGCGTTCCAAAAGTTGAAGGCGTTTTGACTTCCTACGCATAATACCTGTAGTTGATTCGATCGACAAACGCGTTGGTCGGCGGTGACGGGGACTTGATGCAACTATTTAAGCTTGTTGGATGTCCGTATCGGTCCGACTGAAGTGCGAAACCACGTATCTCCATTGCGGTGTTTCAAAATTTCCGTTCTTAATTCATCTCTTCCATGAGAAGCAATCCAAATTTACGACTTAAAATTTTGAACCAAATCTTCTGCTATCGAATACGAAAAATCATGGAGAATTTAAGTTTTATGTTGACCAGTTTCTCGAAAGAAAAATAAATTTGTAAGGAAGTCTGCAACGTCGCAAATGGAGAAACGTCGTCTCTCATTTTGCCCAAAAATTTGTATGTATAAAATTGAAGGCATTATGACTGGCCTCTCTCAACTTATATTCGTCTGTAACGATAAACAATGGGACGCGCTTGCTACGGCGCACACTGTGGTATTGGACCTGAAAAGCTGGCCAAAACTATTTATCACCAGATATCGCCGAGTTTTAAAAATATTTTACAATCAGTACTTCTTCTTAAGTGATAATATGCATAATTTAACCACCTAACACATCATATGACAATCTGCGGTGAGTTTAAAGAGGGTGCAAGAAGCCGTCCAAAAATCCTTTAAAAGGATTCAAAGTATCTGACTAAAGCGGTGCATTTAGACGAGTTCCTTCTTTACCTATGGTCTACTTTTCGAAATAAGGACTTTCTATTACCTCATTTATGGTTTTTTTTAAAAACAGCGTAAGTCACTTCAAAATTTTTGACGAAACAGCCGATCTCTCACATCGAGGAGTAATTGTACATTTCTCAAAAAAATTGATATGAATCATTCTAGATATTAGATTTTTGACAGTTTTGAATCAAAATTAGTGTTAGTATGAAAGTGCCGGGACCTCCATATGATGATTTAAGGTTAAATTATAAGATGAAAATGAGTTTTATCATAATAAGAACCATTGTAAGGGCAGAAAGCACCTGTGAAAATGATTCATTTTGATGGGTTCCTTCCTAACCCATGGCCCACATCTCAAAGTGAGGGCACTTCACTGCGAAATTTGTAACAAAACCACATATCTCACTTTTAAGAGGCTGCAAAATAATGTGCCTCTCGGCGTAATTTCATGGTGCCAGAGGGTCACTTTTAAAGCCCCACCCCGCGGCCGGATTGACTCAAATTTGTCTGTAGAAGTAAAACGTGGCATAAATATGTCTATACTCAAGGATAATGCACGAAGAGATTGTTAGATAACGGATTAAACACTTTCGCAAGACTTTAAAGTGACCCTTCCATCCGCTTTCAAATTATTTTTTTTATCCCTCTTTCGAGGGCGTAGAGGCCAGAGAAACAGGTTGCGTGACCAAATATCACCCAATTTGGTACTAAATGGGTCAGAGCTGTTGGAAAAATACAATTTCAGTCGTTAGTATCGACATAATTTTTCCCATGTGTTTATGAAAATCGCTCAAAAGTCCATCTTTAAGGTCAAAAATTTCAATTTCCTCAGTTTTCCTCAGTCTGTCAACCCTGAATCATGAAAGTACCCACTTTGGACTATAACATTCCGCCCTAAACCGCTTGAGCGCAGTTGAGCGTAAAAAGAAATCGGACTCTGAATTTCGAAAAAAACGCACACTTTTATATCACTTTTCAACCTCCTGTGAAAATCACTAAAAAAGGAAATTTCGAAAATACTGTGGTTAGTTGTGTAGAATATACCCCTAAGAATGTGTTGCATATCGCCAAAGGTCCCTTTTATGGCCGCACAGTTGAAGTAAACTGATCGACGAGTAGCGCGCCAAAACATATCAAAACAATCGCTGAGAATTAGGTGACTTCGTGGTCTCTTCGCGGGAAATTGAGCCACTCGAAAAATGGTACATGCATGTCTACCAGGGTAAAAAACAGTGTAGATTTCGAATATCACATTGGTTTTTCAATAAAAAAATATTTAAAATTGAGGTTTTGGCCAGGTTTTTCGGTCAAATACCACAGTGTGCGGCGTCTTGATACAACTATACAACCTCGACGGATGTCCGTATTGCGTGCCAAAAGTTGAAGGCGTTTTGACTTCCTACGCATAATACCTGGAGTTGATTCGATCGACAAACGCGTCGCCCTGTCGATTTTCCTCGATTTTCGACAAGGAAATTATATCTCGAGATTACGATCTAATCCTACGTAATTGAAGGCGTTGAATCGATTAGCGCGCTGGTGCCTGCAAACCTAACAAGGATACTTCACGCATTGCGCAATGCGTGAAGTATCCCTGTTAGGTTTGAAGGCGCCTATGCGCCTGGTTGTCGGCTGCTCTACGCAGTGCCACGCCGCTTCAAGCAACTATTTCGCAACAGAGGTGTTGCACAGTATCATATGAAATTGAAGGCGCTCTAACGCATCAAGTCTGACAGACATAATGTGAGAGTACGAGCTTCTCTCGTGAAATAAATCAAGATACTATCGTACAAAAAGAGAGCGCTACTCCAAAAAACTCACTAAGTCCTAGCATCCGTCCTTGATAACGTATAGCATAATTTTTGCATTTCATTAGAGAAAAAAGGGACTCGATTTCGGCAGAAACATTCTTGAGTATGCCGTCAAGAAGATTTCATTTTGAATCAAGAAAAAAATAGCTGAATGAAAGCAAATTTCTGCTCGGTGTATGTGACTTTTCTTTTCATAAAAGCATCTTTTCTTCTGAATGCAAGAATTATTTTTTTTATCGATTCATAAGAAAATCTTCTCAGCGGTAAATTTGAGCATATTTCTGCTTGAATCAAGTCACTTTTTCCTCTTATGAAGTTCAAAAATCATGCTAAACGTTACCGAATACGGATACAAGGACTTGGTAAGTTTATCGACTAGGTACCGCTCCCTTTTTATAGTCGTCACTCGATTTAAGGGGGTGCTCCGGTCTAAAAATGGCACAAATTTTAGTTTTTTAGTTTTTCCGTTTTTTCACTAATTTTATAGAGGAGTGTCTACTGAAGATGATGATAATTATATCCACTATTACTATGTAGTTACCATGATCCCATGATTATTCAGAAATGTATACGTGAAATTAAAATTTGGACACCTACTTAACTGGTTTGAGATCAATTTGTTTAACAATACATCATGTAAGCCCCCTCAAAATTACCTTTTTCCCGTTTTATGGTGATGAGTTTTTTCAATACTATTTTATTTTTTCGATGCAATTAAGCTGCCGACAGTTCACTATCCAACGGTTCCTATCTCCGGTTGCATCACCTCTACAAACACCTAGGTGTAAAATGCAGAAGTCAAACACGCAAATATTGAGCAGCAGAGCAGCATCGAACTAAGTACATGATGTGGTATCACGTAGAAATGAAGGATAATCATGGCTCTCCACTTGTCTCAAATTAATGACGCATTGTGAATGGAGGCATTCTGCACGCATCATTGAATACGGAAATCAGGCGCACAACAGTCGAACTAGGTATAAGATGTGGTATCCTCTGGTAATGAAGGACAATCTTGGCTTTACACTTTGATCAAATAACTAAAGTCGCAAGCAATTAAGCTCGCATCGTTGAAGCGGAAGTCAAGAGTGCAATATTCGAACCTCGAATTAGGTATTTGATCTGGTGTCCTGGGATATTACTCGGTGCAAATGAGACAACTTTTTTCCCTCCCGAGCAACTAGTTAGTGCTTAGGGACGGACACATTCCTCTCCTAAGCACCAAAAGACCATAAAATACAACTATCTATTGGTAACAATATTGATTAAAGAGCTAAAATGTTCCTCAACGTGTATTATACGGATGATTTCAATTCGCCTTCAGCTTCGTCCGCAGCAATTGTTACTTCGAATATGTTGTTCGTGCTGATCTCGGCCCAATACATACTTGACTCTCTGAAGGCGTTTTGTGTGCGAAAGTAGAGCACCCTGTTGGAGAACAACAGAAAAGAGATTGGATGAATCGTTCAATCCCTACTTCGTTCGATCAGGGTGTTTGTAACGAACACCTCAGTAATCGACTCAATACCACGGCTTCAAGTGGGGAATTATTGATGATCGGTCATTCACACCTCGCCACCGCATTGAGTGCCAGCAAGAAAAACAACAATAATATACAGAATATTCATTCAGTAGGACACTTCATTCATCCCTAGACGTCTCAGAGTGACCTTCAGTTTCGGTCAATTTAAACAAAAAAATTAGCCGTTGAACGGATACATTCCTCTCGTAAGCACAAACTAGTTGCTCGGGAGAGAAACATTTCTCTCGAAATCAACCACTCAATGCAGGGGAGAGAAATGTTTTCTCTCCTGGGCAACTAGTTAGTGCTTAGGGACGGACAACTCCCTCTCTTAAGCACAAACTCGAAAGAGAGAATATTTCTCTCGAAAACAACTTCTCAATACAGAAGAGAGAGAGAATATTTCTCTCGAAAACAACTACTCAATGCAGAAGAGAGAAATTAGTGGAAGTTAGAATTAGAAAATCCTTGGAATGACTTACAACAAACTTCAGGAAAGACTTTAATTTTTAATGAAAATTTACACCTTTTTTTTTCTCTTTACACTAAGGAGGAAGAAGATGGCAGACACCTGAGTAATAAATTGTGCCAGGTTGAAAACGAAGTTTCTCTACTCAAATTCAATATTTTAATTTTTACAATTTAAAATACTTACGTTTTTTATTGTGTTACATAATTATCTTTCTAAAATACACGCACTGTAAAGTGATAGCTGTCCAAAAATGGATCACTTGTTTCGGAAAGTGCCCGACTCTTAACAAGGGTTGAAAACAATGTCTTCAAGGAAGGAAATAAAGAACCGCGTTCAACAGGAAGGAACCAAGCCACATTGGCTATTGCCAAATTTAACTGGGCAATTTAATTTTTTGCGCGATAACATTTGTGCAGATTTCTTTAAATTTTTTAAGGAATTTGCTTCGTACTATGGAGAAAATCCGCTGAAATTTGCACGAAAATCCGCACAACCGTTTTCATGCAAAAACTTAAATCGCCCGATTAAATCTGGCAATAGCCGTTCGGTTCCTTTCTGTTTAACGTGATCCAAATAAAAATAAGAAAATCGATAAAAAAGATATCTGTTCAAAATGTTTGAGGTAATTAAGTTATTCTACTTCAGTCCGTTCACAGATTATATTATAATATAAAAATTATTATATTCACATTATTTAAGAATTTAATACTGTAAGTTTACACGTGTTAAAATGACTTCGGATTTTGAAATTTCGTGATTTTTAAAAAGCGGAGTATTGCTGACGACATCCATGGCCGAGTCTAAAGTAAGAGAGGAAATAAATAAAAATCAGAAAATCAATGAAAAATAAATTTGTCCGAAATTTTTGAGGCAATCAAGTTATTCTGTTTCAAGAAATTGTGTCCTTTCACAGATTGCATTATAAAATAAATATTATTACATTCACATTATTAAGGAATTCAAGATTCTAAAACGTATTGAAATGACTTCGGATTTTGAAACTTCGTAAATTTTAAAATGCGGAGTATTGCTGACGGCATACAGTGGATCGATGCAATAAGGAAGGTCGGACAAAATTTAGAAGCTTTAAACGCATGTAATTCTATACAAAACTTTGAGATTCTAAAAGTGGTTTCATTAGTTCCCTCGTAAAATTGTCCTCAACAAACAACCCTTGAAATTTAAAATGTATGAAATAATTATCAAAATTTGTATTTTTAGTCAAAACTTCGGTGTCCGACCTCTCTAATTGACTTGATCCACTATGCTGCATTGCGGCATCTGTGACCGGTTCCTGCGGCTGATTGTTGAAATTTATAGACATAGCTATAGACAAAGAAGACTTAAGGAGTATGAAGCGATCCTATTGGTTTAAATGAGTGGTTCTCATAGACTAAAGGGGTAAATGATGGACTAACTCTCTAACTCTCATGGGTTGCCGTTAGTTTGTCTATTACCTGCGTCCTTTGTCCATTGAAACCACCCTCTTCCACGAATAGGATCTCTCCATATTATTTTTGTCTTCTATTACTTTGTCTATTACTTTGTCTATCAATTTCAACAATCACCCCACTGAAATGACAGAGATCTTTGGAGAAGTGGCGTGAGCGAGATAGAAGATCCTTCATGAGTAGGTTAGAACGCCCGAGGTTTTCCGGAACATTGAGAAGTGTTCGAGGTATTGGTGGATTGTATCGGTGGGCTGGTACATGTCGTTCAATCGATTCTGTAAACGCCAAAAAAGCATTCATCAAGAGCGAGAAGAAGGGAACTACGTTAATCAATTACAAGGCATGCATGAAAAGGCCGTCAAACGGTAAAAAATTGTCGAGCCTTTCACTCCACTCACCCTCTTTAAAAGTGAAACTCCGCGGCTAAAAAGGGCATTTCAGAGGGTTGAAAGCATTTCTAGTATGTTGACTTACTTTCAAATCGCAAGCGTCGGTCGGAAAAGGAACCTGAGTACATACAGTGGCAAAATAGGCTGATAACGTCACCTTCCGTCAATGGTATCACAAGCGCCATACGACGTTTCAATACTTCCGACATTTTATTTTTTTACAGCGGAATTGTTGGTTGAATCTGTTTGAAAATTTTGCTGGATTTTACCCGCAGCACAAAGAAAATTTAGTGAAGTTTTCGAACAGCTTTGTTGAATTATTTCTCTGTAAACAAATAAAATGGCGGCGAAAAACGTCGCATGACGCTTGCGATCCTTTAGCCGGAAGGTGAGGAGTTGGTGATTACACCATACTTCCAAAATTCGATCTTACGATTTGTTATGGTTGCGTTACAGTCGACGTTTCGGTTTGCAACGGTTCAGAGCAAAACGACAGATCATTCTCTTACATTCAAATTTCAGAGGCAGTACAGAGGACTGCCGATTTTTAGAGAAATATCCCCCCCCCTCGCCGCAAAAAAATTGAAAAAGGTGTTTTTGTATGTTGTTCTAACCTCGATTCTTTCTTTTTTTTTTTAAAAAAAAATCAAGATTTGTTTGGCCTCTACTCTTTTTCATTCTAGGAATCTACAGCCATTTCCATACACACATGGTTAATTGAGAAATTATTTAGAGTTAATTTTGTTAATTCATCTAATGTTGTCGTTGGAAAAGCATAAATCAATCAATGACTTATCACCCACGAGAAATTTCGATTGTAAGAAACACTTGGACACACTTTCCCACCATTATGGAAATCAGAAATAAAGTTACCGGGTTTTTTTTTTTTACAATAAAACCTCCAAACTAAAATTTAAAACTATGACATAGCCACTCAATCCGTCCACATTTATTTCAGTGCAGCAATTATTTTGGATAGGATTGAAAGATCGGATTCTGAGATTTCGACAGCAAACTTTTCAATGTTTTCGCCATTCCCTTTTCCGAAACCGGTGCGAGTCTTCACTGACACTGATTTTAATTTTAAGTTTTTGAATTTTTTTCTATTGAAAAAAAAAAAAAAAACCACTGAACTTTTTGTACCTCCGACTTGTACTTGGCCTCCTCACAAAATACTGCTCAAAATGTATACGGACTGTAAGAAAGCATATACGTTTTTTACCTGGAAATATTGTGGAGTTGTATTAGGAACGCATGTTCCTAGAAAACCTTGCATGAATTCTCGCAACAGTTCCCAGCAGTTACCAGGGACCATGCAGGGTCGGTATTCAACCTAAAAAATTGACAAATAATAGCTAATAAGACACACAACTAACAACTGAAAGAACAGGGGTTTCATAACAACAAATGAAAATAAACGTAAAATTCTGTGCCTCGCGATTTCATCTCTCTTGTTAAACTAATGTTTCAATAATAATTATTTCTTCAAGCTACAACGGTTGGCTTCCAACAACTATTAGCTGATACAAGAAAGACATGAGGTTGAGAAATGTTTTATCGTATTATCACAAATTGTTTCAAAATGTAGTTGGTGAGGACATGCAACAAAATTTTCACAAACTCGTTTCTTCTTCTAAGTTTATAATGTCATAACGCAGTGAAATGACAATTCAAATCAAGCCATCTCCCTCATTTTAAATTTATAAAATAGGATACAACCTTTGCAACTTCTTGTGAATGGATAAATTCTCCAAAAAAGGAAGATCACAGTCGGGCAATCAAGGGAAAATACGAATTACGCAAAAAACTGGGGAATGAGAGGCAATGTTGGTCGTATGAGGTTTTAAGTTCAGAGACATTTTGTCGCTGGAAGCACATTTACTTAGGCACAACTTATTCAGGCAAACCTGACTGGCAGCCACCTAGAAAAACTTCTCGCATGTGTGGTATATTTGAAAAGGCGTATTACAAACTACGCAGATTGCGCGCTAAGGGGTGGCTTTCAAACTTTAATGACAGGGTTCCCAGCCAATTTCGGAAAAAAAATCCCTGACTTTTCCAGGTTTTCCAGGCCAAAATGAAAATTTTTCCAGGCCTTTTTCCGTGGAAAAAACTCAAATAATTTGCCCTAAAAGAGACAGCGCGCGCATTTTTCGGTTTTTGTAAAAACTCCTCTATTTTCATCAATTTTTGATCTGGTTCAGCTTTTTTTTTTATAAGAACCAGGCTAGGATAGTATCATAACACGAATGAAATCACAAAAAAACTTAAAATGTGTTGGAAAAAAAAAAAATTGGCAAAATATAAACGCCTTCTTAAACGATACATGCATTGGTGAAAGCAAATGATTTTTCAATTTGTTTCATTTACTCATAGTAGTATTGGATTTGAAAAATAAATCCCATCATGGCATTGCCGCTATGCTAAGGAAAAGAGCACTGAACAGATTCTTTTGAAAAATAATCCAGCCTGCAGTCTTCGTTCTGCAGACTATTAAGAACTATTCTTAAAAAAACTGAGAAATGCATATATATTTTTTTAAATGAGCGTATTGTCCAGGGAAAAAAGGCGAAGTTACAAAATAAATAACCTCTACCTTAGCATGCAGACATAGTTCTCAGCTAAGCGCAAGATATCCTAGTGAGTGTACTTGAAACTTTTACATTGAAGATTGAGGGTTACCCGATCGAAGAGCATAGGCGTAGCTAGGTCATTTTGCTAGGGGGGCCTGGCCTCCCACCACCGGGGGGTCTGGGGGGTATGGAATACCCCCCAGCTCAGGGGGGAACTTCGGGGGGCCTCCCCCGGAAAATTTTTGAAATTTTATCTCTACTTGAGCGCATCTCGAGGCACTTGTGGCGCTAATCTTCCTTCAATTTTTGCCTAAAAATCACCCAGTTTTTTACATTTTAAGGTTGAAATACTTTGAAATTGTTGCATTCAACAGGTTTTTCTATTTATAGGCATCCTCTCACGGGCCACGGCGACAGAGACTTACCGTTGAAGAGGGTCTTTTTGCAACATCCAGAATTTCTGGGGGGGGGCAGATGAGACTATTTCCAATTCTAGGGGGGCCAGGCCCCCCCTTCCTACGCCTCTGTCGAAGAGGAGTGAAGAGGAGTGGCTAGCTCCTGCGATCTCTTTTTTCATTAGACGCAAGCGGTCGCACAAGATGCCCCCATCATTATGGCTGATCTGCAGGGGGAGCCACCGAACACTTCCGAGTAGTTCCGATTCGTTCAGAATGTCGATAAAGAGGATGAGTTGGCGGAAAATTCAATATACAACGAAGGAATTGCAATTTCAATTTTAATTAATTTATTTTTATTTGTTTACTTTTTAAATTTTTTTTCTCAGTACTTGAAAAAATTCTAGACTTTTGGAGCAAATTCCATGACTTTTCCATGTATTCCAGGCCATTTTTTCCCCCTGACTTTTCCAGATTTTCCAGGTTTTCCAGATCGCTGGGAACCCTGAATTTATGCCGTGAGCCCTGTAATGCGCATACACTTATGGGTCTCAGGACTCATGTCTTAATGCACATAGTTCCGTTTGGTAGAAATACGTTCATTTTGTCATTCCCTGGCGAATCCTACTTTTTCCCTGTCTTACAATTAGCCAGCGGACCGCAGTCTTCAATAATCGGCCGTTTAAATCAATAGGATCGCTATATTTTTTCTTAGTCTTCTTTATCTTTAACTTTGTCGATCAATTGCAATGATCAGGCCATTGCCGGTCATATTTCTATAAAAAATCGAATTTCTTGATCAATTTTCCAACCTTGAAACGAGCTTACGTCCCTCCATCAAAGGATCGACGAATCAAGACATTATCACGCATCAAATCGTCGCTCCTCCGACGAAAAGACACATCTCAATTTCCACGTGAGCTTTATTTTCCATACAAATTCAAGCTTCCAAGACTCATGCGGAAATTGTTATACGCCCATACGTCAAAGGAGCGACGAAATGACGGTCGACGTCTATGACGATCTGGCAAGGCGAGAGCCCAGGATGCTGCGTACGAGATGAGGATGAGATGAATGGCTATAGGTGAAAGCATCTCTTTATCGAGGCGGTCATAGCATCGTGCATTCGAGGATTCGTGTTGGCGCAATTGCCCTTTCGGGGAAATGCATCCTGATCATCTTGATTGAGACGCATCGGACGCTCGGGTCCGAGAGGATTTTACAAAGCACAATCCAGGCATTATGACAATAGCACATTAAATCCAAGTCTTAGTGTCTAATTCTGTCGTGCTAAGGAAGAACGCCGTATGCGCCTTCAGACGTTGCCAAGTTTCTTTTGACAAAAACCGGATTCACTGGAAAAAAAAAACACAGTGGATCTGGAGTTCAGACTCTTAAAACATCGACAAGAAAAAGTCCTCTTGATTCAATCAGAATCCAGCTTAAATCAAGAACCAAGCCTCTTAATTTAAGCGGATTTAGTTTTGATTCAAGCTTAAATCTGATTGAATCAAAAGTATTTTTTCTTGTCAATGTTTTCAAGAGTCTGGACTCTGGATCCAATGTGGTTTTTTTTCCAGTGTTGGCTCAGTTGCGATGGTCACAGAATCATGTTTTGATGCTTGATTATTGCGGTTCACCTAAAATTAATAAGATCGGTCCGAGCAGCAACTTTCTACGTTCATTAACCGAGGTACCGTCCTTTAAAAAGTCCGGTTTTTGACGTCATCCATCGCGGTAGTGACACCTTTGGTTTCTTCCACCTCGCTTTTATCAGTCAGTGATGCACTGCTTACTCAGCGTGATACTTGGATAAAAGCAAGGTGAATAAAACCAAGGGTGTCACCACCGCGATGGATGACATCAAAAACCAGACTTTCCAAAGGGCGATATCTCGGTTAATATTGAACGTAGCAAGTTGCTGTTTGGACGGATCTTATTATTTTTAGCTGATCTACTACAAGGATCATGCATAAAACCACGATTTTGTGGCCAACGCGACTGACCTATTTACCGCGAAATACGGAATATTTTCCCCCGAAATTTTCAGACGATTTTGCACGCACTTTAATCTAAATATCGGTAATTTCAAGGGAAAAATATGCATGGATGTCGTAAAAAATACAATCTTTAAAAAATGGAAACTTGGCAACTCTCGAATTTTAATGCGGCGTTCTTCCTTAGCACGGCAGAATTCAAGCCGAGTCGATTACAATCAAGAAATGCCTTGAAGGAGGAGTGGATTCTAGATTTTTCCTATGTGATTTATGTTGTTTTTGAGTCATT